TTATTTGTGGCCAATTTCAAGGAAGCGGAATCACAATTTTCCAGAAATTCAATCCGGGTATTGGTAAACCCCACAAACAATGAGTTTATATGAACATCAAATTATTATTTTCTTTTTTTTTTAGAAAGAGAGAGTTCTACAATCGTAATTAAAGGGTTTAGATGGGGTTCGCAGTGTGTTTGGAGGATTGTGGTGTATTTGCAAGTATTTTTTCACAAAAAATAGGTTCTTATAAATATTTAACTTTCTTATTGATATACCAAGTGAGTCAATCCCAATTTAATTGTTTGGTTTTCTACAGTGTGTTTTTGGAGGTTTTTGGGATTTAGCAATACCATTTGATCCTACCATAATTACTTTACCCTCACAATTACACGCCATTTTAATTCTTATAATTGTTTCATTATTTAGTATAGTTTTAGGCACTTAAATTTACTTGGCGGGGAGTAGAAACCAAGTATGCAATTAAATAAGTTGCTTAAATAAATTTATTCCTTATAATTATTCAGTTTACTTTAAAAACAATATTTGATTAACAAATACTTCTTTGAAGTAACTCTAAGCAGAACATTTGTTGAAGTAAAGCAAGCCTCCCTTTTCCCATACATGAACTTGTCATTCAAACACACAATTGATCCACATGCTTTAATAACTACTGTTTATTTGCACTGTTTATAACATGTAAAGTTTATTTCATTTGATACTTAACAAAAGTGAATTTTGTGGTTATCTATGAGTTGCATATTTTGGTAGTTGAAGTACTGTATGTATGTCATTCCTCTACTTTGTTAGTGGAATAACGTTTTTAAAACTATCAAAAAATGTTCAATGGTCGTTGTTTTCTGATAATCTCTCAGTACATTATTTGCATCTGTGTAACTGTATTTGTTATTGATTCAATTCTTGCTTATTACAGTATTTAAATATTTGAAGATTAAAAAAAAAAATATCATTTCTATTACTGAATTTTTTCATTGGGGCCATTTTTACCTACTTGTCATTTGGGGCAATTTTTCCTGGGGCCATTTTTTCCGGGGCCATTCTTACCTACATTCTGATTTAAGATTCTATAAGGCAGTATTACTTCACATTCTGAGTGATCATTTTCAATTATGATTCTCTAAGACTGCCAACCCGGCGGCCAGTGGACTTGCTTTTGCAATGATTTGGGGAAAAACTTGCTTTTGATCCTTTACGAGCGAGGTTACAGATTTCCAAAGCA